ATACGATTTGTGACAGGTTTTTCAACTTACTGTAATTTGATTTGATTGAATTTCTTATAATAATTATCGTTATTCATTGAGTAAATACATTATTGTGTCGGTATTAGTTTGTATCATTCCCCTTTCCAATATCTATTTCAGACTACTTTTATCATAAACGTGCTATTTTATCTAATTGTATATATGGCGTTTTCACGAATTAAGGCTGGCGGGGAAAGAGTGTGTTTTATTTGTATTGGTTTATTTATTGGGTATTATTTCTCCCAGAGGGTAAGTTATTTTAAAACATATTCTCGAAATTAATCATCTTGACTTTATTTTTCAAATAGCTTTTATTTGTAAATCCACACCGGTGGTCAAATGGTTTCTTGATTATAATGATTGTAATACTGAAATAAAATGATATCAAATGTGCACACTTGTTTTGCAATGTTAGGAGGTTAATTATACACATACGAAAACAATATCACATGTTTCATAATGTAATCGTGGTTCAGTAATACATGTGTAAAGGATGGTATGCCACCATGACACCTTAAAATATTATACTCGCTTACAGGATCTTGTTAGATCTCCGTCATCAAATGAAGATGTGTCTTCGATACAATCTCGCACAGTCACTATTCAGGGTAAACTGAAACAAGCAGCGACAAATGATGTAACGGCTTCTCGTCCCCGTATCGACATAGATGAACCAAGGACAAACAAGAGTACTGCTGACTCCAGTAAACAACGGATTAATAGTGCTAATGGCGAATCACCGAAACAAGATGAATTTAAAAAAACTGTTGGGGTGGACAAAAATGTGGGGGTAGACGAAGCTGTGAAGAAAATGACCGTGGACTTATATCCTTACAGAAAGTATAACCCATTTGCAATGGAATGGATGAACGTAGTTGATGAGTTGGAATGGATTCATAGAAACAGTTATAACGAAGACAAGAAGGTTTATAAAATGCCTTTCAATTTAGGTAGTGGAGAGCTGCAACAAACGTCAGTTAATGAAACTAGGTAATAGTATGATCTCATTGTTGCTTGAGAAAAAAAATACTTACTCATATCATTTCTGAAAACTTTCCAGAACATGAAATTATATTTTGCGACACATGATATTTTTTGATTAATTTTAAAATATACTCTTGGTTCACAGCGACATTAAGACCATCATTTGAACAACAGTTCATTCATTACACAACAATAATTGATATTGCATTAATGTGATTATTATACCCTCTCAATAATTTGAATAAGTATGTTGCCCAAAATTGATTCCAGCTCTTAACACCATCCAAAGACACTTGCTTGTTTTTGAACAATGATATATCTTAGGAGCATGTCATCGAAACAATATTATTATGAGGTGAGAATTATCTCTGGGTACCAGGCTATAATTATTATATGTGTTCTAGGTAATGCTTCATTACAGGTGTAAACAATTTATCATTCATAGGTTTTACTTCTTTTGTTGTCTTATATTCATGTTGCTTTTTAATTTTAAATCCCAAAAGTCAAACCTTGAATCATATCGAACAAAAATCACCATTACCGTAATGTGCAAGCATTCGAAATAAGAAGTTTTGAATGAATCACACACGACTTCAAATCACACAAAAACAATAACCAGCACATGATTGCCGTGAACGTATTTGATGCAATATTGGACAAGTTATATTTTTATAATTCGCAAAGAATGTGACAAAATCTATGAAGGCATCTATGAAACCTACATGTATTGTAGTGAATTAGTTATTACATAAAAACAATGTTGGAACAAACATGCAAATAAGCAAACAGTTTTTGTTCAGACTGAATAGATGAGAAGGACTATCAGTTGACAACTTTATTTTTGTTTTTTTCTTGTTTAGACTTGTAGTGCGGAATGCGAAAAAAAATATTCGCAAAGGCACATATATTTGTGTTAGTATCGAAACCATCGATCAGAATGGCCGTAAACGAAACAGAGGAGGTGACTTTTTCACTGCTGGCATGACGAATGTTCGACTAGGTATGAGTACGGCTGGTCGTGTTGTTGATCATGGCAACGGCACATACCATGTTTATTTCTATGCAGCCTGGTCTGGCGAAGCAACAATAGATATTGCACTATCTTATACAAGGGAAGCTATCACTTACATGAAAGATATAGTGAGAAGAAAAGAAGAAATTCTGGGATTTGCTGCCAACTACAGCGATGGTAAAAATACAGAGGATACCCGTTGTTCTCTCATCAACGAAGGCGTATGGACAAACAGATGTGAATATATTAATCCTAACTCTTTGGGAAAAACAGTGTTTGCTTGTAAAAAACTAGATCGATTCAGATGTGACCAGATTACCAACATTTGGGCGGGTGTTACTGGATTGAACCGTGTTGCTACAGATGAAATAAAAAAGATTCAGTATCTACATGAAAGGTGGGTATTTAATTTTAAACTTTGTTAAATTAATTTATTCAATAATTTAAAAAAATCAGATAGTAGCAGATCAGAAGTGGAAATCAGTAATAAACCAGTGGCCATTTCCAAAAAGGGGCGTAAAATGGGAGCAATCCCCTCATGTGGTATAACAAGTCACCTCCTGTGTTATTTTAGTTCAGACATATGTCTTCTGAAAGAAAACATAGGTGTGGTGAGAAATGTTGGCCTGGTATACGTTTACAGTGCATGTTTCCATGGTTACTAGTATTAAATTGAAATAAAACACAAAGAATTTTGATTTTGCCATAACTTCTTTAATTCTTAAGAAAGAAATATCAAACTGGTATCAAACTGAAGCATTTTAATTTCCATTTTAACTGTATTGGAATTTATGCTAATTATCTCATTTGCATAAAATAATAACTATTTTAATGGTTTTTACAAGTTGCGTATTGGTATTTTCAGTATAAAAATACTAATTACAGGAATTGGCCCCTATATATTGTAAAACACATCTGTTTAAAATTTATTCATTGAAATTATCAGTTTCAGTCATTTAAGATTGTACAATGCAACACATTTGATTATTTTTAAACATGCTCACAATGTTTCATACACAACAAACGTAATTAAATGTTGGTTATTTTTCATTCACAAGCATCATTTAGTGAAATAACGACATTGCGCAACATTGCATCAGAGCACATTATTTGATGTAGCAAATACTCTTTGTTCATAAGAAAAACACTTTAAGTTCATTATATACCATAATCTAATGTATATATCAGAATGGAATATCAAGCAATAATATTATTCCATGGCTCATTTATGTTACAAGTTAGAAACAGCATCAATAAATGTGTAGTAGTTGGTAATAGGTATGATGCCTATGTTTATAAATTTATCAAGCTGCAAAGTCTAGCTTCCGTGAATATATGCTTTAAACAGAGTTGAAGTGGGCGATCATATCTAACATTACAATATTAACAAACTGAATCACTAATCATCAGTGTCACTGTCAGACTCAATATTACAATCAGTATTGTTGCAATAATGTTCATGGCACACACAAAATTCTGCACACTTTAGTCCTGTCTGTAGGCACTGACATTTCCTGTTCACATTACAGTTATGGTCAGTACAGTAGAGATGTGTCAGGTCTCGCACTTGAATTGGTGCGACATCTTTAGTATACATGACTGGCTCAAGCTGTTCATCTTCTGTTAGTCTCCATCCATTTCCAATTGGTTGCCAAAGTTCTTGATTTGCAACGTGACTTTGAAACCATATTGCTGTCTGATACCTGGCTCTCATCACATGCTGCATGAATGAATCTTCCGTTGGTGGAAGCTGACTTATCAGTTGTTGAGGCTAAAACATATCTCATATGATCCACCAGTTTTGTGTAAGCTGTGCGTTTTCCCACCTTGAAAAAACTACTTGTACTGTCACATCCAGTCAGGGCGTGTGCTGCAGGTAGACTATGACATAGATCCTGTCCTATTTTCTCCACAATAGTGTTGATTGGTATGTACCTCTGACGATTGACGTGACCTGCATGCATATATACTGAAGAACCCAACATGTCTTTACTCGTGTAGTACAAAAGAAGTACTAAAACAACAGTGTCATCACTACGAACTATAATCCGCTCAAAGTTAGAAGACATGTCAATTGCATGCAGTACCATTCTTGTATCGGCCTCCTCTTGTGAACTAAAAAGGTGTGGCAGGTCAGATATGCCAGTTCTTGTTACACATTTAACTAAACAAACATCAGCAAAGGCACCAGCAATAATTATTTGTTGACCACATGTGAGAATTGCTGATACAAAAGCTGTTCGGTAGCTGGGTACAGCGCGATTGCCTTTGATGATATATGTGACTTTGTAAAAGTGCCATACCATCAATAACATAAGCTGTTGTTGGACCTGTAATCAGGCTGTGTAATTTCTCGCAAGTGGCTTCAAGTTTCTTAGCAAGGTCAGATTTAGTACATTTTCTCATGGTGCCATCGTCATGAAAGAGAGAAGGAGGCACAGCAGCCAGTTCGTGCTCTAGTACAGTTTTCAGGTTGACATCTCTCTTCTTAGAGACTACTAAAATTCGACGGAAGAGTACCTCTGAATCAACCATAAACTTATCTGACTTTCTAGTCAACACAGATTTCCGCATGTCTACAAAAGTTAGGGTTTTCATGCGAGGTTCGGGATCCCAAAAGCTCCTTGATTTGGTACTTTCTACAAGCCGTGTTGTAAGAAAGTTGTTGTGCTTCTTTTTATCATTCTCAAGGAATGTAGTTAGGCTTTTGCTTACCTCTGTTGAGGCCACTTGACCTGTAGCAATGTTGATTAGCTGTGGGGGAACAGTATACAGATCGAATGGATTCTGGTATTGTGTAATAGTTTCTACAATCTTGCATACATCTTGTTCATCCCTTGCAATCCTGGAATTTCTTAATTCTTCATGAAATGTTTCAGCATTGGTATTGGTATTGCAGAGTGACTTAAATGATGCTTCTAGATACTCAGCAGTTACATGTCTTGTCTTCAACCAGCGTGAAAGGGCACCTTTACGCAGTGTTAAGCCAATCACACCTCCTTTACTTTTACCATCTCTATTCACAGTTTGTTCTAAGGCTTGGTCTTTTGCAACACAGTTAAGTTTTCGATTAGCTGACCTTCGGACAAAAAATCCACCTTCACACAGGTGTTTGTAGCTTTCAGGGTGTTCTTGCTCCAATGCTTTCATATCTGCTACATACGTTGGCAGATATTTGGCATATGTATGTCTGCCAGCTGCACAACGCCAGTGTAGAGTATCACATACAGCATTGAGATGTAGGATAAAATTACCTTCACGTTCAGCTCTCAACATGTGTAGTAAGTAGTATATCACCATCATCGAAGAAGGTGTCCCAGTAACTGTATGTTTTGGACTGTTCTCGACGATTCTTCTGAATCCCTTGATTGTTTCAACTATAAAATCAAGATGATTATCAAGTTCATTTGCAAGTCTGGTTGCTGATGTAACGTCTTTCATGACGAATGCATTATGTGGTTCTTGTAGCCTCAGGTCACTGTCATGGGAATCAAGACTTTTTCCGTGTTTACTGCAGACAAATTAGTAATCAGTCAAGTACAACTCGTTCTTGGATCTCCATACCAATGTACATCTCCAACATCGAGATGGCACAAAATCCGCTATGGTTTCCTCCAGAATTATCTGTTCCTCATCAGAATGTTTTGTTTTTCAATGCTTAGACCAGTATTCTTTTAGAGCCAGGATACGTAGTCATCTACAGGCCTGTCAGGTCTTATCTGTCCAAGGACGCTGGTTTGTTGTGTCTGAAGCAGTGTCCCGCTAGTCTGAGTCTTGGTTTTCTGATTGTTTCAGATACTTGTATAGATTACCATAGATGTCTTTATTTGTGACATGTTGTCCCCAGTTGATCTTTTGTACATGATGCAAGAAACGTGTGTATGTTCCATCAATCTCCATTGCGCGATTTCTAGATTTGACTATGGATATTTATCCTAATTTGGATTATAAATCACTGAGAACTAGGTATTTCAGTTGATGTGTCGTTTTAAAGGGAGCAATACATACGTATATGCGTTGTACAAGTCTGGACAATATACATACATTTCGCATTGTATCACTAGATTTCTATCTACTTGAATCTTGAAACCATTGGTATACATTTAAGGATGTTATCACACCCCATATCCAAAATCCAGCCCTTATGAAAAATAAAAAAAATCATAATACACAATCTATATCAACTGAAGATGAACGCTAAAATGCAAAGTTCGTATCAAAACTAGACCACCTTGCTGTACTCACAAACCTTAATTCTATAAACACGATACATGCTATAGAAACTGATTTCCATAGATGATGGAATAATTTGTGACCAGACTATATCAATATTGTCATTGACGACGATACTAACAGTGTACATTATCTTGTGCACAGAAGTAAAAGGAAAGTTTGAAAAGAAACTGTGAAACTAGTCTATGCTAAGGTGCTCCGTGATGAAATCAGGGTTTGCTTACTGGTACACCTCTATTGAATGATCTAACTTTTATTCTATTCAGATATAGTGGAAACTCCACATCAGATAATGTAAAATTCTTCAAATTGGTTTACATATCGATAACTTCCAGTATACCACAATTTAGGTCAAATTTTTTTAAATAGCTTATTCTTCAATTTTTTTCCAAATCGAAGGCACGAGTGCGTATGAAATTGCTGTTGAATTAAGAATGTCCAGAAACAATATCGTTCATAAAAACAGGGAGACGAAACAAGCGGACCTTAACTA